TTGTATTACTAAATATCTAGTCAAAGTATGCACTAATGATTTTCATTTGGACTAATACCAAGGGGAATAACAAAGCAAATATATATGTATTTTATTTGATTAATTAATTAATTTTCACTTTCCTTGTCTATATTTTAATTCTATATTATTGTATCATAATTCAATTATACAACTTTGACTCTTAAATTATTACATAAATTTTCATGCATAAATTATTATATAAATTTTTATATATAAATTATTATGTAAATTTTCATATATAAATTTTTATTACCTCATTATACTATTAAATAATTAACATACTTTTAATTTCAATTAATTAGCATGTGAGTTACATATATTATATATAGTGACAAATCAAAGTCTCAAATTATTATTGTTTGGGGGTTTCAAAGTTAACAAATAAGTAGCACATTTCAAAAATAAATAGGATTTTTCAATAGTATTTTTACTATGTTGAATCATAAATCAGAAAAATAAATAAGTTTTTTTGATTTTAACTTTGAAACCCTCTATTATTATAATTATTTTATTTTTATTTTATTTTCTATTTTTATTTTTTATCATCTTGCTTTGTACAATATCTGATTTCAATCATTCTATTAAAATATATAATAAAAAAAGATAACAAAGGTGTGTTTATAACATGGAATAAGGTAATTAACACACTTATTTTTTCCTTTATTTTTATAATTTTAATGTCAACATAAGTATTCTATGTGTGAAGGTACTGGTTGATTTCTTGAATAATAACAGCTTTATTATTATTATAACCTTTAATTGAAAGTTTTTTTTCTTTTTTAAAATAAATAACAAGTTATGTATTATTTTTTAGTTAAAACTACAAGAGATTACCAATTATACTCATGTATATGTTATCTTGATGGTGATCTGAAAGACTGACAATAGCCATTACCTATTTTTATTGCTTAAATAGTGTAATAAATTTTTACAATATTCCATTTGATATATATGAATTGAACTCATCTTTTGTTAAATATTGTATGTAGATAAAAAATTAAATATTTTTAAATATTATAATATAAAAATATGTATTCTTTTTGTAAATTAGACAAGACACAATTCTTTTAATTGTATAGCAAATAGTAATATATATAAATTACATGTGAAGAAATAATTTATATAAATTCTATTTAGTTATATAAAAATATTAACATAATATGAGATTGTTGTATCAAACTGCAGTACAATATGAATAATATTATTAATTGATTCTACTGAAATCAAATTATAAATATTTGTTAACTGTAAATAAGGACATTCATGCTTGTAAAATTTCAAAGAATTATTTAGAAACTTAAAATTGTACCACTGAATGAGTGCAAGATCAAATGTTTTAATATTCTTTAATAATATACAAATTAATAATAAAATCTAAAATTTAAATCAAAATTTAATTTAAAGTTATATAGGAAAAAATGAATTAAATTATAAACTATCTTTGTGAAACAATATCCATTAAATGTTTCAAATTCATTTTGTTCAGAATCTATGTAGACAGCAATATTGCTAAACACTGGCATATTGTGATACTTATTTGTAGCCCTTACATGTTCTTCATTAGGCAATGTGAATAATTCATACAAAATAAAAGTTATTTCTAATTCCTCTATATCTCTTTTGAAAATGGATATAAGATCGAAGTTGTCATTCATTTTGGGAACAAGATTGCATAAACCCTCAAGAATTTTAGGAGTACATTCTTCATTATGCTTGTATTTTTCAATAATTGACTTTAAAAGATGCTGTGGTATATTTATACATGCCGTCGAAATTATTTCGGGTTTCAAAAACCCAAAATTAAATTTGAAGATGAAATTGTTTTTGATCTATTTTACTTAAAAGATGAAATTTTTTGACACTTTTTTTGAATAGACGAAATTATAAGGAGTATAAATATATAAATTTTATTTGCTCTTTCTTATAAAAAATTTTAATTTGCTCTAATGGAGACAAAATAGGCCTTTTTTGAAAATCAATTTTGGTGGCATCATCACTAGGTATATTTAATAATATTTTTTGAACTTTTTGCATTTTTTTTGGCATTGGTTTTCTCATTTTGTGACAAAAATTTGCTCATAAATGCCTTTGAGTATTAGGGTTTGTGTTATTTACGAAATATTTCAATAATACAAATTAAATAATAATGCCAAAAAAAAGTAACAAATAGATATAACCTTTTGTAGAATCTGAGTATCAATATTGTGCTTGTTAGATATTCTATATGATGCTTTAATATATTGTTTGTGAAGTGCTTCAAATGTCTCAGTGCTCAAACTATTTAAATTTCTATATTTTTAAATTGTTTTGACTATATGATATATTCAATGATAAAATTTTAAAAACTGGCAATTGTTTTAGTAAAGGGTTCAATAATACAGGTTTCTTTACCTATTTTGTTTTTTAACCAATCAAATTCGTCTAAATACCAATCAAATTCGTATTTCAATCAAATTAGTATATTTTGATCTATTGTTGATAACTCGTTATCTAGTGGTTCAATTTTGATGAAATTGGTATCATTCAAATTCTCTCTATGAGAGGATTTGAATGATACCAATTTCATCAAAATTGAACCACTAGATAACAAGGTATCAACGATAGATCAAAATATACTAATTTGATTGAAATACGAATTTGATTGGTATTTAGATGAATTTGATTGGTTAAAAAATGAAATAGGTCGAAAAAACCTGTATCAATGAAATTCTTTGCCCATGTTTGAATTGATATCTATAAAATTATAGATTTACTTAATTAAGTTACATTTCATTTCTTCAAAATTATAATATTTACCTAATATCACACATGGTGACCATTTACTAACAATATATAATTATAACTAATAAAATGCTAAGTTGTAATCTTTAGATGTCAAGAAAATGACATGTTGGGAAATAATTTCTTATATGCAAAAATTACATACCTCAAATTAAAGAAGATCTAACTGTGTAAATTTATGCTGCCTTGATTGATAATATATTTGTTCCAATTAATGAATATATGAGTAAGAAACTCATTTTTTTCTCTTCAATTAGACTTTCAAGAACAAATAGCATAATTTTCATCATATTTTTGTATTCAGATGCTGTAAATAAAGCAAAATCTGCAAGTCCCAAATTGAATACTTTTAATCTCGAATGATGTAGTATCAATCTGAGTTTTAGATCTATCTTGTTGATAAGAGTAATTCCACTATGAGATCTTAAGAGGTCTTGTATAAACTTAACTATGTACAGGAAGAGTCCAAGGTCTAAGTGGTGTATTCACTCAGGGACCATTGCTATATAAACATTAAAACCTCTATACTCGAATATAGGTTTATATTAAAATAGATTTTATAAGTAACAGAATTTTGAAATCACAATTAGCACATTACTTTAATTACTTAAAGATGATTCCAGAAACTATTTGTTTCTTCATGTAATGGGTAATTCTTTCCTTGTCCAGATGCAGAGACTTGTCACATTTGATTCTCTAATAAAAATAGCTTACAGATAGATTAAAATTAAAGTGCTTAATATTATTAATAGCTTTTTACTTATTCAAATTTTTAAAAAATAATTTTTAGATGGTTATTAA